TTTAATAAGGTTTTAATATAATTTAACCAAGTTTTACTTTTACCATTTAGACGTCTGTCTAAACTCTTAATTTTGTCTAGCAACCTTAATAAAGATTTTAAGTTTTTAAAATGGTTTTTAAAATAATTTAATTTTAAAATTAAGTTTTAAAAAATTTTTTATAATAATTTTTTATTAATTAATTAATTTTCTATTTTATTTTTCATTAATTTTAATAGAATCCTATAAATGTATTTGATAGATATATAATAATAATAAAAATAAAGACTTTTGTAAAAATTTATTATTAAGTTGGCAAAATCAAATCAAAGATTTTTTTTTAAGGATTTTAATTAAATTATTAAAATAATATATGATTTAATATAAATTATAAATTAAATTTAACTGATAATTATTTTTACTATTTATTATTTATATAAATATAGAGAATGAAAAGGATTTAAAAATTATTAATAAGAATCAATTAGTTTTTTTAAAATGTAAAATATTGAGACAGTTATTCATAATATTGCTAAAAAAATATTATAAATCATTTTAAATATAAAATAACGTTTGCTATAAATGCTTATTCAAAATTAATTATAAATAAAAAATCTATGCTAATTTTAGAAAATTAATTAATTACAATATACATGCAAATTTTTAGATCTATCTTCTATTAATTTATAATTTTATACTTGATTTAGAAATATAAAGAATATAAATTAAGATGGTGATAGATTTTAAAAATAGTTATATGAAATGCTGAAGATTATTTACCATAGTTTATATTACCATATGAATTATTTAAATAAAAAGTAAATTTGAATAATAATGAAATAATAGGTATAATCTTTTATGCAGAAAACTATAAAGCTGCAGAATATCAGAATAAAGATTGATTAGAGTTTGCAGTGAGTTTATTTTTGAAATTAGTTAGTTAAAGAAAAATATTTCATTTATCCAGTATATGATATTAAAATAATATTAAATTAATAAGGTATTGGCATACATAAGCTGTATATAATATATAGTAAATAAAAAAAAATATATATATATATATATACATATATTTTTATATAAAATAAATATTAAACAAATAAATGCAAGAAATATATCTTATTTAATACAATGTAATAGTTTAATATTTTATAATAGCTTTAATAGTTTTAATATTTTGTAATAATTAAACATTTTACAATGATTTAATGTTACAATGATTTGCAATAGCAATAGTTTTAATGTTTTGCAATAGTTTAAATTGCATTAATTAAGAATTTATTATTTTGCATTGTATTTTCTAAAATAATTTAGCCAAGAAACCTTATTCATATAGGATAGTCCTGGATATGTCCCTACACTTTTATGTTCAGAACATTTTGAAATAATACTTAGATCATGTGATTGATTAGAGTTTAAGTGTAATGCAGGCTAGCATAACTACTGATTTACATTATTTTGACGATTTTTAGTGATTTAAATGATTTATAGCAATTTCAATAAGTTATGCATAGCACATTTAGTTATTGATTCTTTTTCAAGGTTTACTAAAGAGTTAAAGAACATGAAAAATAACGGTAGATTAGTCCGTCACGTTTCTTGATCTACCAGATAATACTGGGGATGTGCTTATTTATTTGATGAGCAGATTACATTAGCATACGCATTAAAAAAATATAAGCCCTATTGGACAAATAAATGCTTTATTATAATTATACATTTGGCGCAGTATCACGTGAAAGTCACAGGTTCTTATCCAGTATCGTTCGAATTTGTTGGCAGAGCTTCGAAATGGCTGTACGAAATAACCCGATTAATCTTACTCGAAATAATCCTGATTTCTAGGTATGATACCCAGAATTATAGCTGAAAGAAAACTCCGTCGTCACGTGACCCATTTATTTTGTATCACAAATTAGATTTTATCGTTACGTACATGTAAAAATGTATACAATACTTAAATAAATCATTGCCGGAAATAGCAACTGATACATAAAAATGCAAATTCAAGTAAATTTTATTTGATAACTATCATTGCTTTGAGTAAGAGAAAACTCCTCTCGGATTTTCTTTCACAAAAATTTCTTTTGCGCGAGACTGGAAGGTGACGAAATTGTTTTCCGGGTTATATGAGAAAACATTGGCTTGTATCAGTTTATCGGCTATTTCTTTGTTGTTGACGAGCTCAATGAATTCACTATACTCGATTTTTTCATTTTTTACCAACTCCTCAACGATGACGTTGCCAATGGCATGATTTACTTCGCCCTTCATTATTTGAGCCTGATGAAAGTCGTTTTCGACGGAATAGAACACCATTTTACGAACCTCTAAAAGCAAATATTTAAGTGTGATGAGAACGTCCACGCAAAGTTCATGCAAATTACCATTATTATTGTTTAGATAGTAAATACTCTTACCTTTCAATGTCTTGCCTTCTTGTATCCAATAACCATATGTCTTGAGATCCTTAATCCGGCCACCTAAGAGTTCGATGAGTTGATTGGCGTCCTTTTCCTCAATGTTAAGTTTGCGGAGGTAAGTGAGTGCCTCTTCGTCAGTTAGATCTCCGATGAAAATGGGTTGTTGATCAGCGCGTGACCAAGATGATCGTTCTAGAGTAGAGAAAAGAAGCCATCAGCAAGGAATGAGATACAGACAAATCATTTCATACAATACTTACGCATCATCATGCGTGGCACTGTTCCCTCGCTACTGACAAACACAACGACGCAACTGGACTGGTCAGCATAGAGTTTTGCGAGGTCCTGCAGATCCTCCATCATTTCCACATTTTTCTGGCCCAGCTTACTTATGTTGTCGAGGA